TCTTTTCCTTCTTCCACTGAGGGTGGTCGTCCAGAGATTCTGATGGGGGTTATATTGTTAGGGGAAAAGAATGTCCTAAAGCTAATTCCATACAGGCTTTGTGGACTCCACCCTCATCCCAGGCCAAAGCCAAAGACACTGGGAACTCCAAACCCCATCACCACCAAAGGGAAGGTGGCTGGGACCTGAGGGTGGGGTTAATCAGCCAGGTTGGTATAAAGCCAGACACGTGGGCTTTGGAGGGGTCCCCCATTTTGGCTCTCCACCAGCTCGCAGCATCCGGCCAGCTCGGAGAGTGATTTTTGGGTTTCCAGGTTGGCAGATCGGGTAGGACGCATTAAAGACTTTATTTCCCTATTTTCTCCCTGAGTTGTACATTTTCCTTATTTCCTTTTCCCTTGTAAATAAGCCTTTTATTAACCTTTTGTGTGTGCCTGCAGTGGAGTATTAACAAGTCCCTTGTAAGCACGCGGGTGAGGACCCACAGCCAGGCAACCCGTTCAATATCAGGGCTGCCCTATAATAATATCACCCCCCTGGGAAGTGTAAATGAGTTTTACCTTGAAACCACTGTTGGAGGCACAAAGGAAGCCATCCCATAGCCTCTGGGCTCTTCTAGATTGGCAAATAAACAAACACATATCAGACCAACTGATAAGAAAATAAGTCGAAAGAATTTTAATAATGACATGCATGTCTCTTCTATCTGTGGGAGAGGCCCAGCATGATGTTAAATGCCATTGTTGATGCTAAGACAAAAGGACTTTGAGGTGAGAAAAGGGAAGGTGAGTTAGGGAGTTTACCAGGGAATGCACAGCCAACTGTGGTATGCAGATTTAAGTTCTACCTTTTTCATTGAGAAGACATAAAGAGACCATGTTTTCCTGGGATACACCCTGACATAGAGAAGTTTACATGTAAATATCTTTTTCAAATCTAACCTCTATGCAGCTTTGAGAACCCAGCCCATGAGCTCAATCTCTTGCCAAAAAGATGTATTTTGGCGTGGCAAATTTTTGCTCTCCTACAATACTCTCCAATCTGCCTTCTCTACTATTGTTTTTGTTTTTTTAATAAAACCTACTTGTGACTGTGATAATTGATTACTTTTGTTTGAGGTCAAGGGAACTCAGGGGAAAGAAAAGCAATAAAACAATGGGATAAGAGTGAGCATCTGGGATAAAGTCCAGAATTCCTGTTTCACGTTCAAATTTGGTTCTTTCACCATAATTATCCAAGTGAGAAAGTCTCCTTTATTTCTGATACTAAGCTGTTTTTTCCCCTCCTGGTAGATGACATCATGATTTCTTTTAGGAAGTAAAGGAATAAGGAAGAAAGCTATAGCCTAAGTCTTCACTTACTCAGTAATGTTTGGATGGCAAAGCCTGTGTCCCAAAGGAGGAGCTGAGATTCTAGGGTCAGGGCAGATGTAAAAGCAGATAATTTCAGATGCAAATGATACCCATTGATGGGGAACAGAACTTGTTACCCAAAAATATGCCTCTTTGGCACAAACATTATTTTGAACTGTTTTTAAAAGAAATGGAAGACAAAGGAAAAGCTCTGAAAAAGGAGTTTTATGTTACCCTTTTGTTAGAGACAGTTACAAGAAAGGCCTTCAAGACACGAGGGATGACCAAATTTCTAGAAACTTGTCAGTGGAGAAGAACATAACTTAAATCTGCATAACATCTATGTATTCACTTACTATGCTTTGCCTCATAACTCCCATAAGCATCTTCTCCTATCCCTAAGGCTTTCTCTCCTCTTTCATTAAGGGTGTTATTTAAGTATGTTTTGGGCTACTTTGAAGTGTTTTCCATTTTCTTGGGTCTTTCCCAGGAACATAAGCGGTATACATGTGATGGAAGTATGCACCTCAAGACATGCCGATTTGATATTGAATGGTCCATGCCTCACCTTTCGGATATGTAGATTATTTACAGCTAAGGTCAATGAGCCCCTGCAGGCTCATGAGAAACTTTCATGTCTCTCCTAACTAACGAAAAGAATGAAAATTTGGTATATTACCAAATTATATATAAATATAAAACCTAAAAGAAAATTTTCAAATTTTGTTTTGCTTTACCAGATACAGACTTTCTTTCTGGCAGGACAAACACTCAATTACAGAGCATCTGGTCACGTGAATCCCTCTTCTCTTCCTGAGATTCCTCCTCTCACCTTGAAACCCAGCTCTTGTCCCATTAGGGGGAAATGATGTCCTGAGCTAAGCCCATACAGGCTTTGTGGACCCCACCCCCACTCCAGACTAAAGCCATAAAGACATTGGGAAAGACAAATCCCATCACCACCAAGGGAGGGTGGCTGGGACCTGAGGGTGGAGTTTAGCAGCCAGGTTGGGTATAAAAACCAAACACGTGGGCCTTGGGGTCTCTTGCTCTGTCACTCGCCTCCTGGCTTCACGGCTCCTGGCTTGCAGCCAGCTCTCAGAGCGCCATTTGGGATTCCAGATCGGTGGATCAGGTAGGACGCATTTAAAACTTTGTCTCCCACTTTTCTCCCTGAGCTGTACATTTCCTCATTTCCCCTTCCCTTGTAAATAAACCTTTTATGAACCTTTCGCGTGTGCCTGCAGTAGAGCATTGATAAGTCCTTTAAAGCGCGTGGGTGAGGACCCACAGTCAGGCACCCTGTTTTGTATCGGGGTTGCTCTACAACAGTCCCATTCCTTAGCTCAGGATATATAGCCCTGTATATAGCTTTAGAATCCACTTATGTGTGAATTCTCCATACATATGTAATCAAATTTGTCCTTTTATCCTGCTAAATTGTCTGATGTGGATTGCTTGACCAGCTCAAGAAGAACCCAGAGGGGTGAGGGAAATTTCCTTTCTTTCCTAACATTATTAAACTTCTGCTTGTTTTTCTCCTGTTAATCTGTCTTTTATTACAGAGCATGTCTCGGTTGAGAATTTAGAGAGGAAGTAAGAAAAGTATGTTTCCTTGTCCACAACGTGCTATGAAGACTTGACAAAGTGGACTTGATCAGCTCTAGACTGGAGGGAGGAGTTGGAAGGTGTAAGGGAGCAAAATTTGCCTCTCTGAAATGTCTCTTTGCCATAAGGATTATTTTAGGCTGGTGGTTTTAGGAAATAGCAAACATATTATAGAAGGAATTGGGAGGCTGCTGCCCTGAAGGGAGCTGGAGTTTTTGGAGAGGACCTGTCTACTCTGTGTGTGGAGTTCCAGGCATTAAAAGTTCTGCAAACAGAACTTCTTACAGAATTGACTCCTGGTCTCTGAGGACATGCTGGCTTGTGCACATGTTCCCTATTAACTAGAAAACTTGTTTTCGGCAGTAATTTATTAATCTGTATAAGTATAAACACAATTGCATGCTATTTTCTTATTCCTTTTTTCATATATTCCATAAAAGCTTGGGCTGGGCAAGTGAAAGGCAGACTACTCTCGACGGCTCTCTCCCCAGCCTCCCCCTGCTGCAAATTCATTTAGACTCTGAGTCTTCATTAATGGCAGAGAACTTCATGGGCTGTCCTGACCGTGGCAAGAAGGGGCTCTGAAACCTGGATAGAGGTTTCAGTTTTGCAAGAGACATACATGGAAATGTTTCTTACAAAAGTAAAACCTCTACCCAGATATTTAGGAAGGAAATAAAAGGTGATTTATAATCCTTTATGAAAAAGAGTTTGGAGTAGAGGCAGGGATTCTCAGAATGGGGAGCTGAGCGGCCTGCCTGACATCAACATGAGTTTATCAGCCTTTAATTGGGACAAATCAGATGTACGTAAAGACTATCCAAGAATAAATGTTCGAGGATCTTGTTCTGGCCAAGCCCCTTAACTCTACAGAAGGCAGAAGATGAGGCCCAGAGACGGAAGGTTAGGACCTCTGGGCATCTCTTAGTTTACTCCTGCTCAGGAATCCCTGTCTTGGGATGTGCTAGCTGTGAACCCACTAACTCACTGGGAAACAGGAAGCAATGCCTCCTAGGAACCTCCTTTTAAAGAGATGACTCTCACAGTGGCCTTTGGGGTGTCTGCCCAAGAATCACGCCCCTCTGTTCAGGGCCCACTATGTTTGTGCTGGGTGACCTCACTCAGCCGGCCTTGGAACATGGGCCAGGGAAGCTCTGGCTGGGGTGAGTGGGAACCAGACTCCCGGGGGGGGGTCTCTGGGTGTGCCTGCCAGGGCTTTCTGTGTCCCTGGATGAGGACCAAGGGGAAGCTGCAATGTCTTTATCCAATCAAGAGCTGATGCGCCAACAGGGAGAGCTGGTGTGAGAGGGACGGCGAAGTGAAGGGGGCATGCAGGACAAGCAGTGAGGGCTGTGTGGTTTCAGGAAGAGAGAGGCACAAAGGTGGTTCCTCTTTCTGCAGCCACACCTCCTCTGAGCAGGGAAGCACCTTGCAGAGTCCTCCCCTGATGAAAAACAGGCTCCCCCTCCCAAGCCCTGACCCCAAGCCTGTCATTTTCCCAGCAACTTGGAGGGGCCTCATATGTGCAGGTGAGAAGAAACATTTTCTGTTTGTGGCATCTTTGTGAAGAACTTTGTAGAGTTCCAAAAGGGGCGTCCGCTCTCCCAAGCTCTATGGCTACATCCCCATGGGTGATTTCCACAGGCACTCCCATCTTCACCTTCCAGAGCAAGCCCTGCTGCGTACAGCTAGGGGAGTGTCCCTGCACCCACAGCCAGCAGTGCCCCCGCACCCAGGGCCCTGGGCAGGGAGTGTGGCTGTGGGCACAGTGAAGCATGTCTGTGGTATAGTAGGGCCCGGGGAGCAATGAAGACCTGTCTTCCCTGAAGCAGGAACTGTGAAAATGACCCCCTATAAGTTCCCATTGGAATCCTTGTGACCATGACAGAAATGCATCAGAGGAATCAGGGTGAAAGCAAATCAGTCCCTTCAATGTGTCAGCCATCAGGATGGGGCACTGGGGAAGGTGTCACCCCCTCCCTGCCCTCCAGCAACCTCACACCTCTGCCCTGGAGTTACAACACATGCCAGCTTCTGGTGAAGATGGAGCCAAAGACACCTGGCAAGTTTATTTTCAAGGTCTTGCTAATGAATGAGGAAGTCAGCCCAAGAGAGGCAGCAGGGTCCCAACACGGGGGCAAAAAGGGAAGACACGCAGAGAGTTAAGCCAGGGAAGCTCACCGCTTTCCCCAAGCCTCGCCCAGCCTGGGGTCTGTGGACGCTAACACTGTCTACGTGATCTGAGGGAACCGGAAGAGCCAGAGGGTGATGGGAAGCCAGGGCCAGAGGGAAGTGAAGGCTGCTACCCAGTGACTTCTCAGAACAGCCCTGCCAGGAGGACAGGCAGGAGGATCATGGGCCAGACCACCAGGAATCCTGAAATGCAAGAGAGATGAGTGTTAGGTGTCAGGCTCTGGAACTCAGCAGCGGAAGAGAACCAGCCCCCTGGCTTCTGGTGCGCAAGGGCGACAAAGGCAGACGATCCAGCATAGGACTGGCAGGGAATAATGGAGCTGTCAGAAGCTACCAGAAGATAGGACCTGGGCCTCCCTGATGCAGGGGTTAAAGATAATGCTATCAAGCTATCGCCAGCCACTGAAGCACGAGTTTGATCCCTGGCTTGCCAGAGAGCAACCCACATGGTGCAGCAGACCTTCCTGTCTCGCCTGCTGCTCCCCTCAGCAGTGTATTTCAGTAGATCCAACTGTTTTGCTCCCCACTCTCTCTGGTGAACCCTCTCACCCCCTATACCTCTGGCCTACACCCCAGTTCTTGTATGCATAAATAAATAGATCTTTAAAAAAAAAAAAGATAGGACCCAAATTCCTAATGACCTGAGGCTCAGAACTGTACCCCAGGGAGTTAGCGGGCAATAAACTATTGTCTAAATGTAGGGAGATGCAGGGAGTGTTTGTCATAGACGCCAGCATTACTTCTTCTAATACTGAAGAGGCAGAAAGACAAAGTTATGGAGCACTGCCTGCCTCTGTGGCCTGATGACAGCCCAGAATCTCAGCTCTACGACTAGCTGTGCAGGCCCAACTGAGCCTCTCTCTGCCTCTGTTCCCCTGAATACAAACAGACATATTACTAGCAGCTATTATCTGGGGGGATTTTTGTAAGACTTAAGTGAGTCAATTCCTGTCAAGTATTTGGAACAATGCCTGGCATTTGGTAAACATCACACAAGTGCTGATTTTGAAAATGAGAGTCTGGGAGGTTTTTGCACATTTCTTTACATTCAGTGTTTATGCATCCTGGGAGATCATGGCCTTGCTTTGGGGAGGGGAGGCACTAGGAGAAGCTTTGCACCCCCTCTCACCATATGCCAGATTACAATCTCCCCCCATGCCCTAAATTTCAAATTAACTTGTTGTTTTCCTAGAAGGGAAGGGGAGAAGACTATTGTCATTATAATAAATGTGAGCGTATGACTGTCAGGTTGCAATTATGAAATGAATGTTGGTGTTCAATTAAATCCAAAACAGCAAAAATGGTTGTGGGAGATACACACAAGGAAAACCCTACTTGCCTTCTTGTGGTGGCTGCTTTATCAGAGTGAATCTCTCTTCTTCCAGATGCCTCTAGAATCTGCTATTCACCCCAGATATTAGTCAATTTGCAAACCCTACTGAAAAGCCAGGCCGTTCAGACACTGAGCTCACCTAAAGCACCAGGGACTGAAAGGGACTGAGACCTCTGCTCTCAAGCTGCTTTAAGTCTGACCTGTAACTACTCCCTCCCATAAGTGCTACTTTTTTGAGCATTGTCAGAATATTAGCACTGAGCATGGGAAGTCCATCGTGAACTTCTTGGCAAACTTTTAGATTATTGTCTAGCTGGGATTTGAAGATGGGTATAACTTCGACATATCTGGGTTATCGAATACAGGCCACTTTCTGGGGTAGCAAAATCGTAATAGTATCGCTTTCTTTTGGTCTCAAATATGTTCCTTGGACTTGCCTGCCACTTAAACTCTAATTAATTCATCAGAACTCCATTCAGATCTTACCACCTGATACATTTTTCCCTGATCTTTTCCAATACGGTTAATTACTTCTCAGTGAGTTCCCTGTCCACTGTGTACTAATTTGGGATTTATTTGCTTATAAACGTGTCTCATTTTTGTAATTGTTCGTTCTGCCTATGGGCTTTGTTCCTCTTATATTTGCACACTGGTTCCTTTTTCTTACTTGGTAACTTTATATTGCCTCCTCTGAAAATTTTCTGACTGATCATTCAATTGTATCGTTTTTCTTCCTATATTTTTAGCAGAACATATCAAACATCGGTTGGGCACACGGCCACCAAAGATAAAGACTATCTTTCCCAGCTTCCTCTGCAGCCAGGTGTGGCCATTTGACTAAGTCCTGCCTAATGAGATATAAGCAGAGTATAAGGAATTGACTTCTTCCCTGTTCCTTCCATCCTGCTGCCTAGATATGAAAGTTTGAGCTCCAGCCGCCATCTTGGTCTATGAAGACCAATGGCCACACCTTGGAGATGGTGGAGGTGTGAGCTGGAAGGGCCTGAATTCTTGATGACTTTGTGGTTCCACCCCACGACCCTGGGTTGCTTACCTCTGGACTTCTTTATGTCTGAGAGTAACACACTTCTGTCTTATTTAAGGTGTCATTACCCAAGCCAGTAACTTTCCACCCCATCAACCTTTTTTATTTTTAAATCACCTTAACTTTTCATTGCCTGTTTCCCAAATGGAAAGTAAGCTCCATGAGGGCCTGTGTCTGTTACCACTCCATCTTCAGTACTTAGAGCAAAGCCTGGCACAGCGGCTACTTGATAAATATTTGTTCTAAGATGACTTGCTCCCTGTTGGACTGAGCATCTCGACAGCCAATCCTGGGTCTGATCCATTTCAGTCTCCATGTTGCCTAGCCCAGGGCCTGACACTAGAAGAGACTACTTGAATGTGCACTGAAGTGAAAGGAAGGAGAGAGAGCCCGGGGGAGGGCTGAGGGGAGCCAGCGGAGCTGTGTACCTGCAGTGTCAGGGCTGCCACTCACGAGACCAAGAGACTGGGCTGGGCCACCTGAAGACAAGAGCAGAAGGAGAAGGTTTGCTTAGACTGCAGTGAGTGTGGCACACGGCTGCTGCTCCAATCCCTTCTGGGCTTGGCATCACACCACTGGCAATCCACTCTGTGGGGCACCTGTTACTAGCAGGCACCTTTCTAAATGCATCCCATTTAGAATGGATTTGAAATGCAATCCCCCTAACAGATCTATGAGGGCAGTCTTATCCCCACTGGACAGATGGGAGACTGAGGCTGGGGATGGGTAGACTTCCTATGCTGACCTGGCTAGGAAGTAACAGGGCTGGGATTTGAATCTCAGTTTGATTTCAAAGTGGAAGTTCCTTGCCCCTCATCTACCCTGTGACACCCCACGGGGCTTCAAGGTGAAGGCCCGGTAAGGGGCAGGACACCCAGGGCAGAACCTCCTTCACGAGACAGGCTCAGTTTACTCATTGTGAGAGTGGAAGGGGTAGTGGGGTTTGCTTCACAGGCTACTGTGAGCATTCCATGTGCTAATTCATAGGCCGTGTCTTCAGCTTAGCACCAGGCTCAAATCCTCCTCCTCAACATCGCCACTCCTACATCCTAATTTCTTTAGGACAAAAGCATGCTTTCCTTCTTTTGAGTTTCTTGACTCCTCCATTCTGATTGGAATAAAAACCATGACCACTAAACTGCAGGTAGGATGGGTGAAAATTCTAGGAGCCGTTGATAAGCTTGCCCAACCTCCCACCTATCATACTGTCAGTGGCCTTTGAAAACCAATTGTTCACCAGACAACAGCACAGTTGGGTCAGGATTTAGAATTTATCCCAAAGGGACTAAGAACATGGGAGCAGGCAAAACAAGGGAAAGGACTCAGGATTTGGAATGAGACCCAGCTGGGTTCAATTGTTACTCCAGCTTCTCACGAGTGGGTGACCTTGGGTACATCACCTAGTCATTCTGAGCTTCAGTTCCTCACCCATGAAGTCAGGGGAGGATTGAGTGAGGAATGGACACTGAGAGCTCAGTCAGGCCTTTAGCAGTGGGGAGGCCTGGCACAAGTGGTCAGTGCTGGGGCATTGTCACCCAAAGCCCTCTTGGAAAGACAAACCGGCACTGAGGAGGCAGAAAAAGACTAGTTTTTGAGTTGGTGACTGCAGGGACCTGTGGTCAACTGTCAACTCTTGTCCAGCTGGCCTTATCTCTAGGACTCACCTTTCCGAGTGATGGGTCCCAAATCCAGAACCTGGTCTGAGTTGATGGCTGTGATTTCACTGCGGAGTTGTTTTCCTGAGCAAGACTACAGGGAGGAGAACTCTGGTTATGCGACAATT